CACTGCATTGTTCAGGAATATAGCCAGCAGACAGGTCATACCGTCCTGGCTATCGACCTTCTTTCAAAATCCGGCCATCCTGGCCAGCCTCGAGGGAAAACCAAGTCTTCCCTCAAACGACTTTGGATACAGGACTTACCCTCCATAGTCGATTTGTCGTTTTCCACACCGAGGAGCTGCGTACAGTATTGCGAGTGGAGGGCAATGCTTGGACCATGCTTGCTTCCAAGTTCAAGAACAAGGGTTTCTTTGCAGACATGTCTCCAGATGCATGGTTGGCATACGCGAACTACCTTTTGGGCGAGAAAGTATATTTAATGCAAGTACCTGCAGGTGGCAAGATGGATCAGGCCCCGCTTCGGCCACCATGGGTGGTGGTTCTCAATTATGAATATGAACTTCGGAAGGAAGCCATAAAGAGGGCATACCGAGACTCGCGGCCGCTCCGCGAGACCCTGCGGGAAGTCACTGAAGATGCTCACATCAAAGAACAGTATTTCACTTCGCCTATCGCCCTACAGAACCGAGGCAAGCGTGCTAGCGACTCATGGGAACCTTGGGATGATGGCAACTACAACAAGTGGAATCGGAACACATGGAAGGGTGGCTGGCAGCACAAAGGCGACAATGACAAAGGAAGGAAGGGAAGGAAAGGGAAGGAGGATGGTAAGAAAGGGAAGGATGGAAAGGATGGAAAGGGAGGAAAGGGGCAGAGCGTCACCTCTTCGAGGACTCCGGATGGTCGTTTCATTTGCTTTGCCTTCTCTGGACCTGGGTGCGATGGCAACTGTGGGATGGTTCATTGCTGTCAGGTGAAGGGCTGCTTTGGGCCCCACCCTACCTGGAAACATTGGCAGCAGCAGCACGAGAACAAAAGCAGCGAGGCGAAGCCTGACTAAGCGTTTTGGTCCTATCCGATCGGGGAACTTTGACATCGTGCATGAGTGTTTAAAGGAATGCGCAACACGTGTGGGGATCCAGCTCAAGGTTGATCACCTATGCGAGGACAGTACACTTGGCAGCTGGACAGATCCCGTGGCTTGGGCTGCGATCTTCGATAAGGTTGCTGAGGAATGCTGGCAAGGTTTCATGTTGTTTCCACCGTGTGGCACGTTCAGCCGTGCCCGTCATCACAGCAGTGTTTCGCGCAACGGCCCCCGACCTCTCAGGGCAGGAATTTTCCACATGGTTTCCCGTGGCTAGCAAAGCAATCTCTTGAAGCTGTGCGACGTGAGAATTTTATCATTCATCAGCGTTTAAAGTTGATTCAACAAGCTTCTGAAGCTGGGTTAGGATGGTCTTTGGTGCATCCCGAGGATCTGGGCAAGCTCAGGTCCCTGGAGGACCCGGCCAGCATTTGGCAATGGTCGGAGCTCAGGTCGGTGTTGGAGGACACATCATGCGCGGCAACTTGGGCTGTGCATCTGTGTGCATATGGAGCCGATGCAGCACACCCGACAAGGGTGGCCACCAACGTATCGCAGGGGCCCTATGAACTCCAGTGGCCCACCTTTGATGAATCAGGATACTACACAGGGCCATTGGGTCGTTGTCCGCATGTGCATGAGAACAAGGTAGGGCGTCAGGGTTCGGACTGGGCCACCAGTTCAGCCCTGCCATCGGCTTTCGCCGAGGAGCTTGCGAACATGCTGCTTTGCTCGGCTTGTGATCATCGCTCGACTGACGGATCGTTCCAAGGTGCCGAGGCCTTTGCTGATTTTCTTTTGACAAAACATGAAACAATCAGTTTGCATGATTGTTTAAGTTGCTGCCGCTGGAGGCGGCGCATCCTGCCGTGCAAATGCCTAGCGATGCAGGTGATCAAGCATTCTTCGGGGGAGCCTTCCGCAAAGGCCCCTTTAAAGGACTTCGGAAGAGCTGCACTGTTTTCCCAAAGTCTCTGCAGTGCTTCACCCGACTTCTGCGGGCACGCTTTCCTGGAGAGGTGTTCAGTTCCATCGGTGTTTTCTTGAATGTGCAAGCTGAGATGCATAAAGATTCCAGAAATGGTCACTACTCCAACTTGTTGCTGGCCCTCTCAAACTTCACTAATGGACAGGTCTGGACCGAGGATGCTGCCGGGACCATCTTACGAGAGGTGCGTGGTGTTTTCAAGCCAGGTCGTTTGCTCCCGGTCGCCGAATCTCCACAAAGACTGATGGCACATCAATGTTTCCACCAAACCGAGCCGTGGACAGGAGAACGGCTGCTTCTTGTGGGTTTTACCATCTCCGAACCGTTGCAACTTGAATCAGCACACCTTGCCACACTGCGCGACTTAGGCTTTGTCTTGCCCGCTTCCTCTCACCTAAAGGGGGGTATGCACTCGACGAAGACGGGCAAGATCGGTCTATAGCTGCATCTACACCTTCGGAACCACCTCTTAACACTCCCCGAGATGCAGCCGCATCCGGGGCCCCGGCCGACCTTAGCACCCCCTCGGGAGGGCCCCCCCGAGTGGCCCGCGTTAGCACCCCGGCGGAGGGGCCCACTCCGTCGGCTTCACCCAGTGACCCGGCTACACTCGAGCAAACCCTTCAGGAAGGCGCGGGGGTATTCACTGCAGCCGGGAAATGCAGGTTGCAAGTCGAGGGGACATGTATTGGGAATCAAATTTCTCCCATCTTGTCCGGACTCCCTGTTTTGCTGGCAGAGAGAGCTTTCCTTTCGTCGTTGCCTGCAGCGATTTCTTCCTCGCTGCTATTTCTCCGATATGTAGACAATCGCTTGATACTCGGGCCGAAGACCGCATTGCAGTCTCAGCCGATGCAACAATTTTGTGATCCCCATTTCTATCAAGGGATCGTGCTTGAACGAGTATCGGATCATCAGTGGCTTGGCTTTACAATTGATGCTGCTGCTCGTACAGCAACTTTTAATATGCCAGAACAGCCTTGGCAGATTCGTTCTCCAGCCAGTGCCGGGTCCTGGAAACTGGCAACGTCTGGCTAGTTTTCCCGAGCATCGTTAATCCGCCAGTACACCTGGCCTCCTGAAGCTATACCAGCTCAGCTTCGCAGACTCAAGGAACTCTATGCGCAGGCAGGGTTTCCTGTGAATGCTTTGCGGAAAAGTCACAAACATCGAACTGTGCAGTGTTTGCCGATCTGAATACAGTTCGGTGCTTCTCGAAGTTCTTTTTCTTGACTCTCGAGTTTTGCTTGCTGCATTTTGATCAGCTGTCTTCATCTCAAGCTTTCTGAGGGCAGCCTCTGTGGTCTTCAGACCGATGTCTCAATATCATTTTCATTTCTATGGTGATGGACCTTCGGGTCATCCCAAGGAGGGCCTTGTGGTTACGACCACCCCCTCTGCTCGCGATGCGCGCTTTGTTCGATCAGTGTCTCACCCTCCACCTCGTGCACCTCTACCTTTGCGCAATGTTCACCCCGACCAGCGAGTACTCCGCCTGGCCGGTTGAGTCGTGATCGGAGCCCCGATCGCGAAAGGAGCCCGCGGCGAGAAAAGAGCCCGAGGCATCATCATCGCAGTCGTTCTCGTCGAGGACAAAGGCGGCGCCACCACCATTTCTCGACGACCTCAGCCAGCCGAAAATACAGCTGAAAATCCAGCTGATCGGGCACCACATCGATCGGCGAGCATGCAACTTGGGCCACCTGTACCGAGGCCAGCATCCGCGCCTCCAGGTCTTTTACAACCAGTTGCACCTCGACCTCGCCCCACTTTGAGCCCTTCGATCAGAATGGTCTCAGCTTCTCCTCGGGCACCTGTTTCCAGCCCCGATCGGCCACCTGGACAGTGGACACCGGCATCGGGTCAAAGACCTGTGACATGGGCCGAAGTTGCAGTTTCAAAGGGCTCCAGCATCCAGAGCTGCTGACCCTCAGCAAGCTTTACAACAAGCTGCAGCCTCCTTTAGAAGCCAGCCTGCCAGCAGTGTCACTGCTCCTGCTGTGACCAGTAATGCCCAACAGCAAGTTTTACAGCCAGCTGCTGAGGCCTCTAGAAGCCAACCTGCCAGCAGTGCCAGTGCACCTGCTGTGCCTGCAAAGCCCCATAGTGTTGCACCGGTGACTCCACCGAAGAATCCAGCTGTGGTTGCCAAAGGCCCACCAAGGAGGTCCACTCCCAGTCCGATGGACGAGGAGCCCATGTTTCAAGCAACACACCGCAGCACTTACGAGCAGCTGCAAGAACAGATCTCACGACGGGCCAAAGGCCGCAATGCCGTGGATTACTACGAAGAAGGGATGTCTCCCCTTCTTGCATACATGTTCTTTGTGTTGCATTATGATGAAAACTTTTTGACCATCAATGGAATTCATGAGTGGCCGATCATACCACACAGTGCCATTCGCCGGTTTACTGATCGTGTTGCATGGATACAACAGTTTTCGGTGCCAATGCCCAGGATCCGGAAAGAGGATGTGGAGCAAGTTTTGCAGTTTTTGTTGACTCGTTTTGGCCCAGCCGACAAGCCTTTTCTGCCGATGATTCCAATTGGCCAGCGAGAAATTGTGCTGCTAGCAAAGGTTATTTTGGCCAGCAAGATTCCCTACAGGGAAATCTTTCAGCATGATGCAAAAGCTTATGCTCTGCCTCAAGAGGCACTGCATGTGTGGCAGCTGCCTGTAGCCCACCTGCCTGGACCGGAGGAACAGGCCAACAGGTATTACCTTTGGGGGCATGGAACCTCGGCCGAAGGCCTTGTTGGTATCCTGACATTGGGCAGAGTGCTCAGGTCCAGTCTCGAGGCTGTAGGGTCTTCTCAATCTGATGAGATCTTGTCGTTCTACGGCAAAGCCTCCCAGGATGCCCATTACGAGCCATCCAAACTGGAGTTTGTTTCAAAGCTACATCACAGCACAAAAAACAGTGCAGGAGTGGTGGTCGGAGGGTTCATTGGAACCGCCCACCACAAAAGCAAGTC